AAAAAATTCACGTAACCTGAAGACCCCGACAAAGCCAGAGCAAACCACTATGGAAAGTTTGTTGCCCAACCGATGTGCTGCCCGACAGCCAAGTCGCAATAGCGAAAATGAGGCTGTTTCTGAGTTGAAAGCAGTAGCAAGCCCTCAGGGATGGGCTCATGAAGTCTCATGTGCAAAAGAAGGAAAGTGGACAGACAGTCAATCTTTAAATCCATGCGCAATTCCACAATTATGCAATGCCTGTGTTACTCACACGTTTTGCTCAATCCATGAGCTGTGTCCTAATGTAGTTAATAAAAACGAAACAAACGATTCCAAGTGGACTAAAACGGTGGTACCAATCAGAACAGCCGTCGGCAATCAGCCTACCATCGACTTAACCCTGTCTCGGCTGCCGGAACCATCAGCTGGACTATCTGGCCACGTGCAGAGGGGAAGGGACAGGATCCGTGGCTCTGGTCAGAATGGCTTATTAAGACAGAATAACTCGACTCCAAGACAAGGCCATATCGAGACAGAATATCAATCACACACTATCCTGCAACCAAAAAGCATACTTGGGTTCCAGCAAGCTTGGTGTCACCAGGACGAAATCGAACCGGGGGTAAATCTGGGTCCTGGTGCTGTTGTAATGGCTCCAGAGTCAAAGCAACAGCAATATCAACCCTCAAACGAGTCAGAGCTAAAAAATAAGTACCTGAAAAACCCAGATTCGTCTTCTTCAAATACGTCCGATAGCCAACTACTGAAGCTTTCTAGGTCGCAGAGAATGAGCACTTTTAAAAACGAGGCCTCAGAGGTAACTTTGCCTAGCTAAGGCAACAATAATTTGTTAAACTATAACATAATTCAAAAGAATTTCACTATCTTTCTGAGCTGATTCATGATATGGATGCTGATTCACTTTTATGCCAACTCTCAGTGCATCTTTTTTATCCGAATTTCATTACAAGAGGAATGAAGGAAGGCTAATTTTACCGTCAGCATTTATATATTTGTATTACGCCCATAGCTCTAGCCTTTAGATAATTATCAAATCAACAAGTGGACAAATGACTCTAAAAAATTAATTCAGTATGATGACACAATGCAAGATTCTGCCCTTGTGATTACCTTATGTTATAGAAGGCTATCTTGAGATCATGAGACAACTAGTCTTTCTCACATTACGAATGTCCTGCTTATATCAGGCAGTTATTGATAGTAAGAGGTTGAATATTATACCTGAATTTTTCTCATTTAAAGAGCAAGATTCCACAATTTGACTCTCAAATTGTGTCTTTATGATGTTGCCTTCTCGCTACACTGTATCAAGGTTTTTTAATTTTCTTTTGGCTTAATTGAGTCTATATAGGAGGTAAGATAAAGCCGGATAGTCTTCTTGGCCTAGTGTTAACGTGAGACTCTTATAAGAATGACACCCAGCTCTGATGATGTCCATCATATGATGTGCGAAAGCTCAATCCGTTTTCACCCGAAACGAGGGAGGAAATCTCGTGGAATGCGTCAACATGAACATCGTATCAAAGCCAAACGGCTGCAGTACAACGAGATTCATCCGTCCTCATCTAGTGAGATCGACCAACGAATCTCTTCTTCATGCACTTTCATACGAAATGAAAGTCCATCAACAATGTTATCTCAGGAGATTCATCGAAACCCAATTTCTCTTCGTATCTAAAACTTATGCATGAAAGACTTTGGATTTCATATTTATTGCCAAAGCACAAACATTTGCTGTAGTGATTATTTGAATGCCCCAAATACGAGATGTATTTGGTTAAGTGCAATTATATTTTGAAAACTAAACTTTCCTCTCTACTTTCAGCCTTGAACAATTACCTTGTAAAACTGATTATTCATCTACTCTCATTTTAAATTGGTGTAACATGAGATTACGTTAATTGCTGTTTTTATGATTTTCAGCAGTATTAGGTAAGAATTAGGTTTAAATAGGTCTTATATCGGATCTTGATTCAATAGATACTGACATCCTTGCTTAGTCTTTAATAGAAATATGCAAAATAGGTGCCTTAATAATTTTTTCTTATGGACTGTGAAGCTTGCATAGTCCTGTTGAGGTGAATACACTAAATGTGGCCTGTGGACAAATATTTTTTAAATAATTACTGCATGATTCGGCAAGAAAATAAGGGATAACTAGTTTATTTGTAGAAACCAGCTTTAGATGCTGCAGTCTTTCTCTACTTCGATCCTCATAACTTATTGAATTTGTTTGACCTTGTTATCACAACTTGGTCATATTGGTAGGAATAGCTAGTGGAATGTGCCTAGTCCAAAGTCCCTAGTATGCATGATAATTTCAAGAGTCGAAACGTGGACGTAGTACATTCGCAGACGTTCCGCCGGCATAGTCAGTGAGATTTTTTATTAGCATCTCACTACAAATCATCAAAGAGACAAACAAATGAATGAAATCTTTTGACCAATTGTCCGCTAAACAGTTGTGGTATCGCTCTTTCTGTACTGGGCTATTCACCTATCCTATATCCAAGTATCACCCCTTTAATATTACAATTTATCACTTGTTTATCTCACCATATCTGAAGCTTATTCACACTCCCCGCTTGTTCCCACATCACTTCCACTGGGTCGAGATCCTTGATCCAAGGCTGCGGTTTAATCAGCAATCTTCTCCCTTCGGGTCCTACCAGAGTCCCCCTCTTGCTTCGTAGAATCTTTCTCTCATCGGCCTGTTTCAATGAGTTCATTCTATCGCTTCCACAATATCCGTGCTACTCAAGGCGTTATGTTCTACACTTTGCCTCACTAAGAAAGCCCCTAAAGTCTGGATTCTCAATTGGCATGGCAACCTAACTTGACACTGTAGATTCCCTTATCACTGTGCCGCATGTGCACCGATTAAATCTCGTGGTCAAGCCTTTACTTCATGGACCACGTTTATGAGCAAATCTATCTACTTATAGCTAACTTGAAATGCTCACCGTCGTTTCTCTCGCTCTCCTAGCCCTAACGCCAAGTCTATGACATTCTCTGGCGTTCCGACTGCCACTTGTGATGGTTCTACTTGATTTGATTAGGCTCACCGTAGACATCTGATCTTGGTTTCCGGTTGTTCCACTCTGGTCTCCTTGTAATTTCTTTTTTTTAAATTAAAAATATTACCCTTGACCAGTCGTCTTCTTTATGCTCAAACTGCTGTTTCCTGATCTTCTCCGAATTTGCTTATGCAATATGCTAAGTTTTTGCTAATCCTGTCTTCTCAAAGTCTCCTGTTCATTAGATTTCTTTTAGTCAGGATATCAATGGCTCCTCGTATCTTGCGTATTTTTGTATTTCCTCCATATGCAGCCAATCTTTCTCTCAAGTTCCACTCGATTTCGTGTCCCTTCTGTGCGATGTGTTCAGCTATTTCGGATCTCTCAGTGTCCATGTTTATACAGAGTCTTTAGTGTTCCTTGATTCGTAGGCTGATTTTTCTTTCTGCTTCACCAATATACTTCTGCTCACAGTTGCCGCATTTTATGCGGCCACATCATCCTGGTTTTCATACCTCATAACCTATTGTTACAATATTTTATTTTTACTGATGCCCTTGTAAGATTAGCACCTTAATTCACTCTTTTTTCGATTACAACTAGGTCAATTTGGCCATTGTTTATCCAAGCGCAAGAAACAATTCAGAGGAATTGGTTAGGGAAAATTCGGCTCCCAAAAATGCACCAAGCCATAAAGCGGTTGACGGGAACTCAAATGATTCAGGAAAAAAACCAAGAGCTTTAAAGTTTACGGAACTAATTGGAATGGATCAGGCTGTCGAATTTGCCATAAATCGATCTGAAGTTAAGACCAAACACGATATTCAAGTTTCAAAAGAATTCACTTCCACCGAAAGTAATGAAGATTTTTCTACCATCGTCTCTAATACCGCTCCAGCCTCTCACTTGACTACAACTGTTAATTCTTTGCCCATATTGGCATATCCATCTGTATGCAGAAGCAACCGAACATCTATAGAGCCTGACAAAGCAGCAGAAGTTAGTCATAGTACACCGCTTGACCGGATCCATCGAATGAATCTTGTCGACTTCAGCAGGGTTAAGGAAACCTCCTTGTTGAAAGTAAAAGAAAGACCTGAACCTCGTCCAGATGAGTGGCAGAAGCGTGACAGGAAGGGGGAAAAGGATAATGTGCTCCTCCCTCGTATGCAGTTCTACCGTGACCTTGCCGGTAACATCAAGAAGGTTGGTGAATGGCAAATCTTTTGGCTATTCAGAACATGAGTTTGTCGTACAAGAAGGATCTGTAATGAGCCCGAAACAAATTAAGAGTATATTTTTCTTTTTGCAGTAGTTTAGCAAGACAAGTACACCCAAGCAGATTTTGTGAATAGATTGTTCAACACTTAGCCCAAAAGCAAAGAGCTACAATATTTTCCGAGTGTTGTAAAAATGGTGCTAGGGTAAATTATACGTAGCTGAGCAGTACACGGGGGCTAATGCTTGAACTGTAACTATTTCGCTAATATATTGAACTGTTAAAAAGTTTTTACTATATGGTTACTCTTACATCTATGCTTTTGATTTCTGAGTAGCCTTCTGGTTTCACCCCATTTGTGAATAACCCTCATATGAGGCCTAAAAGTATCTACTAAATTGTGCACTAAACTTGCCACAAGTTTTCTTGAAATACCAATAGGACATTCATGCACTGAAACTTTGCTATCAAACCCTATAAAATAAAATATTTATCAATTCGCATTGGTTCATAAGCTTCTATTATATCCGTTCCTTTTTCCTTGGTCCAACTATTTTGGATGATTATCATTTCTATATGATCCAGTAAGTGTAAAATTATATACAAACATATGAATGAGAAAAGTGATATAACTATGGCTTGTATTTTGGACTACGCAAAATGGGCTGGATTAGAAAATAT